AACTTCCAAAAAGTATTGAAATGCATCGTAGTGTAAACAAATTTAAAGAAATACAGTGAACGATCGATGTCTAGAGATTTTTTTTAAAGGAAATTAAAAATTATGTTACCAGATGAAATAAAAGATGCTTTTCAGATGAAATAAAATCAAGTTAAATTAATATTCGAAAATCTAACATCCCCTTTTTATGGAAATAAACACTTACATATTTAACCCTCTGACATGCAGAGAAATTTTAATGAGCATCTAAGCCAAGGATCACAAGAAATTGTTGTTCATTTACGTCGCACTAGAGCTGCACAATGGGCTATTGGCGACGGTCTGGGAAACATTCTTGAGGATGATCCGAAGACATAGACATGCCATCAAAATTTTGATCCTCTGCAGAGGGGATGGCACCCCCGTTTCGGCAGTCCGACGACCTGCGCGACCGGGACACTGAAGTCGAGCACTTTACGATCGAACAGTTTAACGAGGACCCATGCCACACACCCTCGGTCCCTACGCAGGCTGATCCAAGTGATCACCCACCCGCACACTGACCGTAGCCAGTGATGCTTGACTTCGGATCACAAGAAATGTAGTAGTTACCGTGAATGACCGAAATCAAGAGAATGTCGACTTTCACCGGTGAATGTCAACAATCACATAGTCGCTTTGGTGAATGTCCAACATACTTGTTGTATCCGATTTTATATTAATTTATTCGTTGATATTATATTTATTCGATATTTTAATATCTGCTGTGGATAGATTAGGAGAAACATCAGTGTTTGAAGCACCGTTTAAAAGCATATTGGGCAGTGGCACTTGACCTTAAAAAAACATTGTAGGCCATACCGGCCAAATGTATACCGGACAATGGCATTGAACCTTAAAAAAGTATTAATGCAAAGCCCTACTGGGCAAACATATAACAGACAGTGGCGCTTAACTAAAACCAAACACTGATGTTTCTTCTAATCTATCGTCAGTAAGTATTAAAATATCGAATAAATGTAATTATAGCCACGAATAAATTACTATCAAATCGGATGTAATAAATATTTCGGACATTTACCAAAGCGACTATGTGATTGTCAACATTCACTGGTGGAAGTAAACAAAACCCCAATTTCAGTCATTCACAGCAACAGTCATTATTTGAACGTCTTCAATGAAGCAATACGATATGTCCATTTTCTACAAAATTTAAAGGGATGTGATTGACAAAAACACAAAAAAGAGGAAGTTTATAACTGTAGCATTAAACGTGCAAAAGAAAAAATGATATGAATTCAATAGCCAATCTGATAATGATTACACTATTATCTATTCAAATAAATATAAATAAATGTTAATTATGTTCTTAAATAAAATCTTGATTAAAAAAATTTTTTTTTAATAATTTAGATAACTTTGAGTAATTATGCATAAGCACGATTTTATGTATTACATCATTTTAAAAAACATTTCTTTAATGGTCAAAGGACCTTTATGGACTTTCTCATCAGTTCTTTGTTTTTTCCATGGTCTTTCATTAACATGACTGATCTGTAGACTGCGTTTTGCAGACTTTTGATCATCAGTGTTGATAGGACAAGAAAGTTCATTTCTCACACAATTTTTAGAGGCCTTAGATTAAGAATCGCGATGTTGGATTTCAAAATCGCGTGAATAAAAATCGCGATGCTTGATTTTAAAATCGCGTGAAAAAGAATTGCGATGCCGGATTTTAAAATCGCGTGAAAAAGAATCGCGATGCCGGATTTTAAAATCGCGATGTTGGATTTTAAGATTGCGTGAATAAGAATCGCGATGTTCGATTTTAAAATAGGGTGGATAAGAATCGCGATGTTGGATTTTAAGAGTGCGTGAATAAGAATCGCGATGTTGGGTTTTAAGAGTGCGTGAATAAGAACCGCGATGTTGGATTTTAAAATCGCTTGAATTAGAATCGCGATGTTGGATTTTAAAATCGCATGAATTAGAATCGCGATGTTGGATTTTAAAATCGCGTGAATAAGAACTACAATGTTTGATTTTAAAATCGTGTGAATAAGAATCGCGATGTTCAATTTAAAAATAGCGTGAATAAGAATCACGATATTGAATTTTAAAATCACGTGAATAAGAATCACGATATTGGATTTTAAAAGCACGAAAATAAAAATCGCGGTATTGAATTTTTAAATCGCGTAAATAAGAATCACGATGCATAATTTTTAGAGTCCGTGAATNACGAAATGACCCTGTCGACGAAATGACTTGTCGACGAAATGACCCTGTCGACGAAATGGCCTGTCGACGAAACAACCCTGTCGAGGAAACGGCCTGTCGACGAAATGACCTAGTCGATGAAACGGCCTGTCGAGGAAGTGGTGTCGATGAAATGGCCTGTCGATGAAGTGATTGTCGATGAAATGAATGCGACCCGGGCAAACATATAACAGACAGTGGCGCTTAACTAAAACCAAACACTGATGTTTCTTCTAATCTATCGTCAGTAAGTATTAAAATATCGAATAAATGTAATTATAGCCACGAATAAATTAATATCAAATCGGATGTAATAAATATTTCGGACATTTACCAACGCGGCATTGAACCTTAAAAAAGTATTAATGCAAAGCCCTACTGGGCAAACATATAACAGACAGTGGCGCTTAACTAAAACCAAACACTGATGTTTCTTCTAATCTATCGTCAGTAAGTATTAAAATATCGAATAAATGTAATTATAGCCACGAATAAATTAATATCAAATCGGATGTAATAAATATTTCGGACATTTACCAAAGCGACTATGTGATTGTCAACATTCACCGGTGGAAGTAAACAAACCCCCAATTTCAGTCATTCACAGCAACAGTCATTATTTGAACGTCTTCAATGAAGCAATACGATTTGTCCATTTTCTACAAAATTTAAAGTAGTTGATAATAACTGTCTTTTAATGAAGTTAAAAATATGACACTTTTTTTAGGGTTATAAATTATTCAAAATTAAGTGGTTTCATTGTTAAGACAATTGCGAAGCAAAGGGGTTCGCTTAATGAATGTTATTGGATTGTAAAAAAAAAAAGATGATTAGTGGCATCTATCCTAGTACGGTGCAATAGTACAAGTGACAAAAATACATTTTTTGAAAAATAACTGAATTAAGATTTAATGAAACTTTTTTTTTCTTTTTCCGATAGGAAGTAACTTCAAAATATACTTTAACTCTCTATAGGGCTATTTTTATTTTTCTTGTAGTGTTGTGTTAAAATATTTCTGGGATTGAGATTAATTTATAAATAGAAATTCATTTAGCACATCGCCTGATATTAATCCGACCTTTAGGACTACTCTTTTAATGGGAAGGTGGCTAAGATTTGAAAAATTTACCCTCTGTAAAGAATCAATCAGTAGACTGGAATTTCCAAATTAATAAATGAACGAACGCAAGACGCACGAGAGAAAATAGTACCCCTCAGTGTTGTCCTTTCTTCTGAAATCCAAGCTAATCTTTACTGTAACCCACATTTATGTAGCTTATTATGCTTGCATAATTTTTTTCTATGTTTTTTTAATAAAGTTTTTTCATGTGGAACTGCTAAATTTGTAGCAATGGAAATGTTATAAGACTTAGTACCGATTAACTTCGATACACAGAAATATTCTATCACCACTTGATGTTAATGCCATTATGTATGAGTTTAACAATCTGGATGTTAGACACATGTATGATAATAGTCATACAGGGTTCCCACTCAATTTCAGAAAGAAAAAAAATTCTAGACTTCTCCAGGTATATTTCAATAAAAAATCCATACCATATTTCATCTATATCATGCAATTTTTTCATCAGAAAACTTGAATTTCTTTTTTAATTTCTAATGTCAAATATTATATTTTATGAGCAAAAACATATAGTAGAATGAGATTGGAAACACGGAAAAATTTCATTAAAAAGTGGAATTTTATAAAAGAATTGTAACAGATTTTAAAATTATTTAACTCTTATCTCAATAACCGATTATTATTATTGAAAATTCTAAGACTGGTTATTTTTCAGGTATAATATAGGAATTTTCCAGGCTTTTCGTAAAAAATTGCAACTCTCCCTGCTTCTTAGAGTTAAAATAAAATTCCCTCACAATTCCAGGCTTTCCCTATCCCGTGGGAGCCCTGTCATATATAACTTCAATATATATGACATTATATCATACATAATGTCATATATATTGCAGTTAGTATGTCAAGCAATCAAATCACTACCCATCAAAAACTAATTATAAGAAATCCTGAAAATAAAGTATTCCAATCACAACCAACAATCTATTGCAGACGAGTAAGGTCACGGAGATTGAAGTACTAACCGCCTAGACAAGTGGGTACTCATAAATTTGAAGAAGGGGCATTTAAGTTACCACTGAAATAGGATTTCTGTGACGCTGAAATCCTATTGGATGAATAGATATGATGGATGAATAGATATCATTATGTGATTATAAATCCTTAGAACTTTTGAGATTTCTTAGCAAGTTAACTTTGTTAAAGGATCTAAACATGTCTTTATTAATGAAGAAACCTATATAGGCTTGTACATAAATAAAAAGTAAACCAAGGAATTTGAATCACTGTGAAAACTGATCAAAATGAATTCTACATCAGGCTTTCACCGACCACAGTGACACACGTAAATCATCCACAGTGGTTGATGGATTGTCGATTAGAGTACCTTTGCCAACAGGCTAACTCTAAGAGGTTTCCGTGGTATGCCTCTGCATGTATCGCAAATGCAGGGTAGTTCAATCAAAAAAGTTCTCCATGAAGGCAAATTTCATCAAATACTTAATCCAGGAGTTCCCCTGTCTTCTGCATGGGGTTCAAAATTACAAGGTTACAGAGTTAAACATTGATAGACGTTAACTCAAAATAGGGTCAGCTATTCAACGGCGGTTATATAAAAAGAAACATATACCCAATATTATTAAGCAGAATTATCATTTCAAAATACAGTAATAAAGAACAAAATATGGCAGAAATATTTAATTAATCTTTTTTACAGATTCCAGATTTACTAGAAAATTTTTGTAGAAGTAAACATTTAACAGTAAAATGCTCATTCTACAACTAGACACTTAAAGTTCTAATGACATTCAATCCCGTTTGAGCCGTAGATACTAGCACACCTGGCATTTGCCTATGCCAATGCAGCTCTTTAATTTCTTTTTGTCCTTGATGTATAAACAGAAGTTGTGGAGGCAGTTGCAAGAGCTCAGCACTCATTTCCTCACCCCTTTCAGCATCTTCATCCCTCTCAATGGCAAGATCCCACTGAGTTAACTGATCGTCTGAGCTGGATGCCGCAAATACTGAGTGGTCAGTTGGATGCCACTCTACAGATGTAATAGGAGCTGTATGATGTTTGAATGTGCATATGGCGTCACCATCCTGTAAAGAAACAGGTAATTTTCTTTATTTTATTTATGACTACAATATGTAAGGCAAACAATAACTATGAATCAGAGCTAACAGTAAATACGCAATAGTAGGTACGCAGGGCTTGCACCAAGGACTTCAACTTAGCCAGTAAATTAGTCAAATATCAAAAGTATTATCCAAATTTCAAAATTCTTAGCCAAAGACAAATCTTAACAATTTTTTAACATAGAAATCTTTAAATCAAAAAACAAATTTGCTATAAATTGAATTACTTTTCAAAATGCAAATTCAAATCATGAGTCATTTTGCAGTTCAATAAAGGAGCAATGAATGGAAGAGAGACAATGAAAAATGTAGATGTTTAATCGCCTCTGGAGAAAGAAATAAGAAAATGTTTGGGTTAATTTTTGATAACTTCCTAGACCAGAGCAGTTATATAAGGAAAAACTTTAGCCAACATTATATTACTGCCACATTATTGCATAGGTACTTGTCAAAAGAAAGTACATCTTCTGCAAAAATATTTGGAAGATAACATCCACCTTACTGCCACATAATCTGTGTTATTGAACTGTAGGAAAAAATTTGTCAGGACATATTGCATGATCCAGCAACAAACATAGTGATTTGTATTTTATGCTAGTTTGTCTCAGGCTTGCATAATCTCTCAATACTTACATTATCTGGACTTAATATGATTCTAATTGGTTATGAGACATATCTAACAGAATTGGCATTTAAAATTTTGAAAACCTTCGAATTCACAACTGAAATAAGTATGTTGTTAGTTTTTTTTCCTTAAAAATTTTAAGAGCTGTAAATAGATATATAACCCTAGGACTTTAAAGCTTGTCTGTACGGTCATGCAATTGGGTAAAGTACCGCACGCTGTACAGTGAAACCATACAAGTTGCAGGGAAAAGTCCAAAAAAATATTTTTTATCAACTGAACAAAACCTGGAGTTACCTCTTGAAAAATATTAATGACATATAATATTTAAAAAAAAATTATACAAATAAATAATATTCCTTATCTTTACAAATAGACTTGTTTATAACTGAATGAAATTAGTTTTGTTTTAATTTACAGAAGCTTTTTAACTATCGAATACAAAATCATTTTAAACATCATTAATTTAAAGTTATCTTAAATTACTGCTTGAGTTCAATCACAAATCATGAAGTTTACTTCTTACTTGGATTTATTTTCATGTAAAATAGAAATTACTTTAATAAAAATGTCTTAATTAATGAAAAATATTCAGTTTTGGGTGATTGTGAGAACAAGTCAAAATTCCTAAAAATTTCCCGAGTTTAAAAAAAAAAAAAAAGAAAAAAGAAAGAAAGTTTAAATTGAAAAATTATTAAAATATATTTAAAATTTTACACATACCTATGATGACCTGGAGAAGAAATTAAAATTTACAAATATGTCTTTCTTTTTTGAGTTTATGATTATAACTAATAAAAAATAAATATTAATCATGAATATAAGCTTATAAAGTATCTCTCTGGCTCTCCCTTACAAACAAATAAAATAAACTTCTGTGATCAATGATTTTTTGAAATGTTTGGGCCTTCAATCTCCGGATCACTGTTAGCGGGAGATTTGGATTTCAGCTATCCCTTTTACAAACAGACGTATTTGTGGCAATTTAACGTCGCATGATAACAGTTTTCTAGGTAGTTATTTATCCCTTTTTCAACGCAAACCACATAACTTTTTAAATTCCAATATTTTTAACATGATGTTACTACAACGTAGAAATTTCTATTTCAACTTTTCACTTTCTAACGTGTTAGATCTGTGACGAATCCATCATGATTTCCTGCTTCCCCCCCCCCCAAATTCCGGTNAGGAAAATCTTAACAAATTTTTAACATAGAAAACTTTAAATCAAAAAACAAATTTGTTATAAATTGAATTATTTTTCAAAATGCAAATTCTAATCAAGAGAAGAGTCATTTTGCAGTTTAATAAAGGAGCAATGAATGGGAGAGAGACAATGAAAAATGTAGATGTTTCATCATCTCTGAAGAAAATGTTTGGGTTAATTTTTGATAACTTACTAGACTAGAGCAGTAATATAAGGAAAAGCCTTAGCCAACATTAGATTACTGCCAAATTATTGCATATGTAATTGTCAAAAGAAAGTATATTTTCTGCAAAAATATTTGGAAGATAACATCCACCTTGCTACCACATAATCTGTGTTATTGAACTGTAGGAAAAAATTTGTCACGACATGATCCAGCAACAAACAAAGGTGATTTGTATTTTATGCTAGTTTGTCTCAGGCTTGCATAATCTCTCATTACTTACATTATCTGGACTTATTATGATTCTAATTCGTTATGAGACACATCTAACAGAATTGGCATTTAAAACTTTGAAAATCTTCGAATTCACAACTGAAATAAGTATGTTGCTAGTTGTTTTTCCTTCTTAAAAATTTTAAGAGCTGTAAATAAATACATAACCCTAGGACTTTAAAGCTTGTGTGTACGGTCGTGCCATCGGGTAAAATACCGCACACTGTACAGTGAAACCGTACAAGTTGACGGGTATGTAATTCCAAAAAAATATTTTTTATCAACTGAACAAAACCTAGAGTTACCTCTTGGAAAATATTAATGATATATAATATTTTTTAAAAAAATTATATAAATAAATAATATTCCTTATCTTTACAAATATACTTGTTTATAACTGAATGAAATTAGTTTTGTTTTAATTTACAGAAGCAGATGAGTTCAATCACAAATCATGAAGTTTACTTTTTACTTGGATTTATTTTCATGTGAAATAGAAATTACTTTAATGAAAATTTCTTAATTAATGAAAAATATTCAGTTTCGGGTGATTGTGAGAACAAGTCAAAAAAAAAAAAAAAAAAAAAAAAAAAAAAAAAANAAAAAAAAAAAAAAAAAGAAGTTTAAATTAAAAAATTAGAAAAAAATTTAAAGAAAGTTTTTTTTTTCTTTTTCTCAATATTTCTTAGTTTACTTAAAATATATTTAAAATTTTACACATACCTATGATGACCTGGAGAAGAAATTAAAATTTACAAATACGCCTTTCTCTTTTGAGTTTATGATTATAACTATTTACTGATAAAAAATAAATATTAATCATGAATATAAGCTTATAAAGTATCTCTCTAGCTCTCCCTTACAAACAAATAAAATAAACTTCTGTGATCAATGATTTTTTGAAACACCTGGACCTTCAATCTCCGGAAACTTCCGGATCACTGTTAGCGAAAAATCCGGAAATCCAGATTTTTTCCGGAGCACAATCAGCCCTGGTAGTCAGTAGTTTTTTTTCTGGTGTTTTTTTTTTTTTGTCTGCTTTATAACGATTTTTCAAATTAATTCTGATATATTTAATAATTTGCAACAACACGGGAGATTTGGATTTCAGCTATCCCTTTTACAAACAGACGTATTTGTGGCAATTTAACGTCGCATGATAACAGCTCTCTCGGTAGTTATTTATCCCTTTTTCAATGCAAACCACATGGCTTTTTAAATTCCAACATTTTTAATATGATGTTACTACAACGTAGGAATTTCTATTTCAACTTTTCACTTTCTAACGTGTTAGATCTGTGATGAATCCATCATGATTTCCTGCTTTTTACCAAATTCCGGTATTTTCCGTACGGTATTACAGCACGTGAATTTCTAATTTTGAGGTGTTCAATCCGCAACTATGCTGTCATGAAATTGCGTCGATTTGCAATCCTTTCTACAAGAGTTCTACAATTGTGATCATTTTATAAAGTCACACTTCAGGAAGTTTTAGGAAATTAGAACTTCATAAAGAGATCGTTTTTTAGAGTTTGAGCTGTTAAGGGACTGTTTTTTAGAATTTGAATTGTGTGAAGTGGCAACAAAACTGTCCCAATTTCAACCTAGATTGGGCCCAGGAAAAGATCAAAATGTACAGGCGACTCCTTTAACATTCCTCATTTTTCATTTTCCACCTCTCAAGATGATTTTGAAAAAGGACAGTTCTTAATTTTTTACTAATCCAGATAGTCGAGAAACAACTATACTTTTGTAAAGTCAAAATAGCATTATCATAAGACAAACCAACTAAGATTAATAATTTTATTGTTTACCATCTCCATAAGCATTTCATTTTTTTAATAAAAAAATTAAAGAGTTAGAAAGGACTATTATTGTACTTACAGGAAACCTTCTCAGATCCCATACTCTAAGTTTTCCATCATCACCGCCAGATAAAATAAAAGGATCGCTTGGATTCCAACTAATTACATTGACATCACTATCATGAGCATCCTGTTTGGTCAGCATGCAAGCTTTGTTGGGAGCTGCTCTCACATCCCAAACCCTGATGGTTTTATCTACAGAGCAGCTGACCATTACCTACACAAAATTAGAAGTTTTTTTATCTAGAGTGAAAAAAGAAAATTTTCACACTTTATAAACACAGTATAAATGAATCAAAATAAATCTCTATATCTAAAAATTCTCTTTGCCAGTCTTCTTTAGCACTTTGATTACGAGGATGAACTATTTCAATCAGGGGTGCTAAGTAAATGCTTAAGACAAGCTTTGACAGGAGTTGGCTACAGAAGCATTAAAAATGTTCTTCTCTAAAATGTCTTTTACTATGAAAACAAAAAAGAGCACAACTCCAGACTCTGTTGCAAGAGAAATTTGTTAGATAGACAGACCTCAACTTATATTATGTCAGACCTCAACTAGATGTGCTAAACTATCTTCAGATTTTTATTATTATCTTCACACTTTCATAGGGGAAGTTACCACCCAATAAAAGTTGCTTGTTGTTTTTGATAGATTTTGTTGTTTTGAATGGAAATTTTTTCTTTAAACATTTGTTAGTTAAATTTTTTCTTCTCAATATCAAGTTGCAAATTTAAATGAACCCAGTTGCATTTGCTTCAAAACTAGACACATTTAAAATAAATACTTACACATCAACATCTTACTATATAAAGGACTTACATTACTCTCATTTGGTGACCATTTTATATCCTCAACTGAGTCAGTGTGTGCATTGTAAGGCCTTTGATCTACATGCCAGGTACCTCCTTCTAATGGTTTCCACAAGTGAATATTTCCTTTGCAATCTCCGCTTGCAAGTACACCTACATTCAAAAAGGAGTTAAATTAATAATATACTCTTCTGAAAATAAAAATTAACAACATGCCTAATGCAATACATTAATTAATCATAAAAAATTTTATATTTAACCAATAAATAAATTGATAAATGTCAAGCTTGATTGTTTTGTTAAGACTTATTTACTTAAAAAGCTTTTCATCTATGTTTTGATAGAATTTCAAACTAAAGGTCCTTGACAGTATTGAACTACCATTAATACCTGACAAATCTTGGGTAAGAATTCACACAAAAAAAGTTATTATCTTAATATTTTTTTAAATTACATAACCTAAGATAGGGATGCACAACCTTTTTGAGTGAAGGGCCACTTGCACAGCAGTTTGAATAACAAAGGACCACAAACGTATTTAGACAGGTTAACAGCAAATGCACCCTAACCTAAGAGATAAAATACTTAAATACTTTTTGCTTATATAATTTTGCAGTGAAAGATGTACAAAACACTAATTCTGTAAAATAATCCATAAGTGAAAAATTGGTAAAAAATAATAAAATACAACAGACATCTACTTTCAAAGCTTTAAAAAAAGTGCACATTTAAGAAGAAAATAATTAAAAAAATATATACTACTCAAAAACAAAAAATATATAGCGTGAAAAAAAAAAAAAAAGAATCATCCATAATAACTTTTAATCTAATGATTGGATTTTCAGGTACTAGGACCCAATCATAAAAGTCATAAGGGGGTAGACCTCAAATTATCTAATTAATTAGTGCAGACGATATTTAAAATTACAAGACATAAAAATGTACTTTCTCCGACTTACTTACTTTTCTTTACATATCTCTGTACTTAATTTTTCTTACATATTTAAACACCAAACAAAATCATTACAGGGCAAAGTCCCAGACTTCAAATCTGGTATATATAACAGATGCAACTTTTTAGGGAATCTCTTTGTATTCAAGATGCTAAATGATAAAGTGGTTTTAAAAAATCGAAATTTGTACAACATAATTTCAATGTCACTATTATAAATTTATAAGATCCTTGACAAAACTGATGTATTAGTTTGATCTTTAAAATAAGAACAATTTTCATAAGACTAGTTTGAAAAGACTCCATGGCATTTTAGGCCATACACATTTTCTTTCAAGGCATTTTTAAGCCTTATGAGTTATTTTAAATACTCATTTCATGATGTGTCGATTTTCTTAAACACTAATTTTGATTATGCCTAGAATAAAAAAAGTCACAAATAAATGGCTGTTTTATGACATGTAAATGCATGCTACGTGGAAAATTATAAGGTTTGTGACAACCCTTTTTGTGACATTTTGGACCCTTACACAAATATTCTTAAACTCTTTTTAAAAAAAACATACCAGGAACAGTTGGAGACCACTGCAAACCAAAACCCTCAGTTGTATGTCCATTAAACGTAAACACGGGAGCTGGGCTTTCTTTATTTTGAATGTAAGCTGTCATGACTCTTTTATCATTCACAGCTCTGACTGGTTGAGTAAGATTCCATATATAGACTTTGTCCAGTTCAGACCAAGATGCAGCGAATGGTTCACTTCCGAGTGTCGTCACCTGGAACATATGAACATTGCATTACAAATTTCAATTATGCTAAGTTTATTATATCTGCATAAATATAAAAGATTAAAATAGAAACAAAAATAGAAGCCTACAAGGCTATAAACAGAGCAGTGTTGCTATATAGACTGTGGCGTTTATCATTCAAATTTGCTACGATGGAAGTAGGGTAACTTTGATTTTATTTTAACTAAAAAAAATAGGTATTGTAGTATTTTATTACGTAAAATTCAAGTTCAATAATTTTATACTATTAATAATTTTACATGCAGGTTTCATAACACAGCCCTGTGAGCTAGCGAATCAATTCTTTCTTAAAAACGTTGGCTGGTTCATTTTTGTGTTTGTAAACAAACATGTCAAATACCTGTATCGAATGTTTTTTTTCTTCTCAAATTAAATTGAATTCATAAATTATATGTTATTAACTAAAAGCATTTTATGAAAAGTGGTTGATTGATTTATTTTTTATTCAAATTGCACTGAATTAAAGATTCACCCTTAGATAATTGGAAAAAAAACGTTACAATAATTTTTACCACTATTTGTTTCTCTTCCAAATAATAGGAAATAAAATAACGCAAAGCGACATTTAAAAATCTGATATTCATACTATTTAGAGATCAATATAATTTTATGTTGCAGTATATTATAATTAAGAAGTAGTAGAATAAAATAAAAAACTATAAAAATGACAAAAAACTATAAAAATGACAAAAATTATAAAATTACTAAGAGTATAAATTTGTTTAAAAACATTTAAAAATATTTCCTATTAAGTTAAAAACTAAATTGATTGAAAAAAAATACTTTTTCTGCCAATTTTTTTCATGTACATAAAACTATAATCCTAATAAAATTTCTTTTTTAAAAAATGAGAAAAAAATCCTCTAAACTAAGTCACAGAATCTTAAATTAAAAATTCTATAGCATTTAATTAAGAGAACACCAAATATAAGTACATATTTGGTGTTGTCTTACAGCACGTGTTAATCTGAAGTTGAATTAAAACATATTTTTTTTCTAATTTAACATATTTTTTATCTAATTAAATTACTGGCAAAATAAAACCGTCAAACATAGTAAATATAATGTTTTTCTATATATTTTTATTATTTCAAGCAATTATCCCCCTTTCCTTAAAAAAGATTTATTCTGTGCTCTAAATAAGAGAAACAACGTAAATTTAAAAAAATAATCTATAATTTGATTGGACTCAGCTTGCCACAGTACATTGAACGTTCAGAAGAAGCATTGTTAAAAAGAGTGCAGAAGTTTTTTAATAAATATATATTAATGTGCAACAAATGTGATAATAAATTTATAAATTCATATAGTATGAATCAAATACGATTGTTTTAATAAGTTTTAACACTGCCCCCTCATGAACTGAACAAAGTATCCTTTTATTAACGATATTGAGCATTCGGCACACGCCCCAATATGGCGCAGAAATATGGAAATAGACTAAAATTGGAAAACAAAAATTAAAAACTTTCAGAACAAAAGCTTAAGACGCATTTTTATAATTTTCGAACCTTACAAGATATCTCATGAAATTTTTTTGAATGCTAAAATTAAAACAAAAAAAGAGAGAATGTCAAAAAACAAAGAATCAGTTTGGTTTTCTCAAAACTCCAAAAGTAAAAAAAAAAAACATTGTTGCACTTGTCTAGGCTCCAAACGAAAAGAGAACAAGAGGGAGACCCAGACTAAATTTTCAGAGCATAACTATGGGTTAACTTAAATTTTTTTTGGAATATCTAATTAGGAAGATGCAAAGAAAAAAACCAATGGAGATAAACTTCAGACTCAAGAGCACTTAAAGTTAGTTTAGTTATCATTAAGTTTACCAAAAAAAAAAACATTAAGAGTTTAAAGGCAATCATTTTAAGTTTAATACAGGAAGATTTTAAATGTTTCAAAAAATATTATTAAAATTAGGATAAAAATTAAACAATTAAATAAAACTTTGAGATTGAAGTTTGATATGAATTATTGGCTATAAAAATGTACTTCAGCACATAAAATAATATAACCCAGGGTTGCCGCAATCTGAAAAAAAAAAATTCCATGAACAGATTGTACACAATATTTTAGGAAGAAGCACACAATCACTGTGCTCTTGTGTGAGCTATATTCGGCTAACTATACTAATTTTAATTGCTGGAAAAACTTAGAGAAAAAAGGTACAGCTGAACATGCTTAAAATAAATAATGGTATAGTAAATGAACTAGTTTAGTATAGCAGAAATACCATCCTTAAATATCCAATAGATTGTGATTTGACTGGTCACCATTTTTTAAAAGACGAAAATAAGAAATAAAATTCGCTGTTATTTTAGGTGATTTTTAAATTCCCTGTATTTTCCAGTTTTTCCCTACTCTCTCTCTCTCTCCGGAGTGGCAACTCTGTAACCAAAAAATTATTTTATTACTATACAACATATTTAAATTGCCGAGACGTTTAACAAGTGTCAATAAGAACTCGCCCTTGTACATTTTTGAGGAAACATGTTCCTGTAATTTGAACAATAAAAAAAAGAAAAGAAAGGCAGTAAGAGAGAGAGAGAGTATTCCTAAAAACTAGGGATGTAGTAAATATTCAGTCACTATATAGCCCTTTAGCTGAATATTCAGTTGGCTGAATGTTTGACCAAATATTGAGCTAAGTATTTTTTTAAAAAGAATTTTCTTGACAAAGTTTTTTTTCTTCTTTTTGGTACATCAATAGATTTAATAAAGAATAATTTAAAATCACATTTTTAACTATACATTAATAGAAATAGTTTTTACACATATTTGTTCAAAAATTTATTTGCTTGCACACAGCTTGTAAATTCATCATCTGGAAGATAAATGGAAAAACAAAATTTAAAGAATTGAAACTGATAGATTACTGATAGATATTAAATTGATAGATTACTTAATACTATTACACAAGTTTTTGCACTGTAACTTTTTTTAATTATATTTTCATAATTTTTTGACACTTTATTATAAGAACTGAGAGCGGGTTTTTTTTCCTTCTTATTATTGTCTCATCTCTTATCAGTATAGTGTACAGCATTTTAACCAAGCGTTTGGATAGACTTTATTCTTAAAATATGTACAGACTAGTATTACCCTTTAGTTATTTTCTAAATTTTTAACCACATAGTTTTTTAGATTTAACTTTCATTCGATTTTATTTATTTGATTTTTTTTACCTTAGCATTTTAAAATGAATTTGGAATCCATTTAATAATATAATTCTTTATTTTTTCAAGATAATTTTAATAATTAATAATCTTAATCATTTTTGGATATTGAAGCTAATTATTATTTAGAGGTTCAATAAGAACAATTAATCACTCAACATAAACTCCCTAAAATAAATTATGCAACTGTAAAGTTCAATTTCTATTTTTATATTTGGGGACCAGCCTATTTTTAGAACACTGAATGAATATTTGGGGAGGGGGTCCTTTTGGGACAACTAATGTTTCATTGCTGGTTAATCTTATCCAACTATAAATTAACTTTTATAGTAAAACATCCTACTTTCACGAACACTGAAAACATTCACCTGTATCCTATTTACGCAACCTGTATGTCGAACTGAAGCACATTCTAAAACAGGTTTTGTGTCTTCTTCAGAGTCACTTTCTGAATCGCTTTCCTCTTCCTCGTCTTCATCTTCGTTACGCTCTTTTTTGTGTTTATTTTTGTGCATGTTAGATAATTTCATGATCAGCAAGTGGTTACAATGCAAGCTATCAACTTGTGTGCCTCCAACAACGGTCATAGTCAGAGGATATTCATCAGCTCTGTTGTCACCAAGTTCATCAGGTAAAATATCAAAACTTAAACAAGGAGAACCTAGAATTTAAAGAAACATCACATAAATTAAGACTATACAAAATATCAAATGTTTATTTTCCAACTAAAAGAACACAGAGCTAAAAAGAAATCAAGCAGTTTTAATGCATTTATTTTAAACAACTTCTGTTGCCATTAACACTTCATTTTTAAAATTTCTAAAAGTTATTTGATATAAATTACACTAAGACATTTTTTTTGTCAAAAATTATTGAAAATGCGTAATTTTCTTTTCTTTTTTTGTTTAGTTGTATGCATTCTGTATCACTGTAAAACAATTTTCAAGGCACTTCTAAAACTTGAAATGCATTTGTATAATTTTATTATAAATTATATTTCAATAGTCATTCATTTAAACTGATTACTTAATTGATTCTTAAAATTAACTGAGTTCTTAAGCTATCTTTAAAAAAATGGAGAGTCATATGATTTTTAAGCCTGCAAACATGACATTAGTATATGGTAAAATCACCTTGTATACTGAAAATTGATTTGATAAAAAACTTCATTTAATGCTGTATTTCGAAGCTCTGTCCCCAAGGAGAATAAAAAAGCAATCGTTCAAGTGCTTACTCTAGAAGCAATGTGATGATTTTAAACAATATATATTATTGGCTTGAAAAATAATTTGGGCTTTAGAACAGACAAATAACTTTAAATATTATGAAAGTTACTAAACTTTTTTAAAAATCGCTTATTTGACGATTTTAATTTTTTCCACCTAGATGAAAATTATCAAAATCACTGCCTTATTCTCATTTTTTCCAAATTTTTATGAGCCCAGGAAATGCAACAGAGGAATAAGTCTGTAAATATTAAAAAATTAGACCACAAATGCTTTTTATTTTCACAAAAACGTGCCTTTTCTCCATTTGTGCCATTTTCAAAATAAGCCTAGAGAGAGCTGGCTTTAGATAGGCTAATCTTGATCTAACAGTAATGTGTAACAGTAGCAAACTCGCAGCAGTTATAAAAATAGCATATTATTCACACAAAAAACATTTCGTATTAAGATGGAGTCTTCAAAAAACAACCTGTATTTAAAGGAAAGTAACATTAATTATCTGTTTACTGTAATACAATGTATATCCTTATAATTTTAAAACTCCTTAACACAAAAATTTTGAACTCACCAAAAAAAAAAGATAGTTCAAATTATTGAAAATGAAAATATATTTTCTATAGCTTTTAAAATTTTAGTTCCAAGATCATGATGCTCTGAAATATTTTAAATGAAAACAGTTTTTACAAGTTTTTATTTTATTTACAAGAATGGAATATACGAATTCTTATTAAGTTTCTCTTATTTCAGTTGAATATAATATTATTGTTAGACAATATTATAAAATCTAGCTTTTACCATTCCTCGGTTATAGGCGACTTTAGTTCCTACAGAAAACTGACTGCTTAATCAAGAAACGTTGTACTCATTTTCAAAGATGTGTTTACATGTATCTACCAGACTTTTTTTCTTTCAAAAAAAAAGTCATTAGTAAATTTAATAAAAAGTAACAAAAACAAATATGAAATGTGGACAATTATAGTTATTATGATGAAACATACTATATATGTTAATGACACAAACCAAAATATGAAACTGAAAATCAAATGACCATAAAAGGGCAATATTTAATTGTCTTCTATTAACAACTAATAATTATTTTATTGTGGTCAAATAATACCAAGTCAAATAATAGTGGTTTAGGACCAACATTATTTTTAAGATTTGGTTGGTTTAAATAAGTTAAATTTTTGTATTAATAAAATCAACTTAATTTATGTGTTAATAAAAACTAAGGGGAGTTTTGAAAACAAATAGATAATGTTAAACAGGAATAACAAAAACGTGATAATCTCTAAGTGCAGAAGAGAAAATAAGCAAAAATAGACCCAGGGTTGGCAGGTTTTTGACATGTGACAGTTTTTGACAGTTTAAACCATGGTTTAAACCGTCACGTCAAAAACCTCACTGTCAAAAATGTCGAAAATGTCAAAAACCTATATTCCTATGTGAAATTTAATTAATACATAAAATTAATATATTTTTTATGAAGGATAGTGTTTCTAAATATGTTCTAGAAAAAATAAATTTAAAATTTTGAAGAAACACTTATATTTTGAATAGTAACCAAAATCTTGTACTTTTGAAAGCTCACATCTTTTGTAATATTATGTATTCATTTTCATGTGTTATTGAAAATCTGCAGTGATATTATTAAGAAATTTATTTATAACCAAATTNAATCGAAACAATCAGTACTTTCCCACATCACCGAGTGAATTCAACTTGACCCTGAACTCAGAACAAAAGTACCCTTACCCCCTACGTCAAAAAAAAGTGTTAGAAGTAAAATAAAATAAACAAGAACAAAATTAAAATAAATTAAAAAGAAAAACATTTCATAAGGATCTGATATTCTTTATCCGAATTGGAGCACTTGGGTTTCGGTTTAAAGTGTGTGCGCATGCACAAATCATAACGTGGGTACGACATGAAGTCCGCATGAATGATTACGTAGCAAACTCCCCATTTTTCGTGAAATGCATGGGATCCACCAGATATCACTGAAGGGAGAAGAAAAAAATTTCAGAAAAAAAAGCACTTTTTAAAAACGTCAGCTGAAAAAAGCACCTTTAAAAGCTTTTAAAAATGAAATCCCCAAAAAAGCACCTTTAAGTACTTTTTACAAATGCTACGCACCCTGTTAAAAGTGTAGAGGAAAAGAATTGTATTAGAGTCTATCACAAACTTTTTAAAAATGTGAATTGAACTTCAGCAGTATATCACCTATCAACACAGATTTTACTAAATCTATAAGAGGAAAAAATAGGAGTAACCACATTGCTAAGATCTGATGTGAAGGCTAGTGGAAATAATACTATGATGACATTTCCACTATATCATTCACCAAGAAAATTTGTGCAAGAAGTCCTTCGCAAACTTTGAACACATGATGATTGTTTTTGTATAAGTGGTTAATTTCATCAGGGTCTAAAGAACTTAATCACATGCAAATTCAAGAGTTCTCTTATGATTTGGAAGTTGAACATGCTGATGTTGTTTATTACACAGAAATATGTTGGTCGAGCCACGGAAAGATGCTTCAGTGCCAGTTTGTTTTCTTTGATGAGTGAAGTTCAACAATTCATGGAATCTAAAGGGATATTTATTCATAAGTTCCCTGATGAGAAACTTTGCATTTCTTGTCGATATTACAGATCATCTCAATGATATGAACTACCACCTATTTGGAAACGTCTTCATATTCTTTATGGCATCAGAGAAAACTCTTAGGACAAAATTAATCCTGTGAAAAGTCAGTTGCTAAATAAGAATTCCATTCATTTTCCTAAATTATAGTTGGCGTGACAAATCACGATACGAAAATATCCCCGTAGTGGGTTAATTTTCTTGATACATTTTCTCTTACAAATTGTGAAAACCATTTAATTTCATACCACTAAATTATGGGAACTAAGTTATTAAAATGACTAAAATTTACTGTACTGATAATACTGTTGAATTAAAAATAATGAAAAATGTAACACCATATATATCGTTAAGAAATACATTTGAAAAAAAGTGTAATGATTTTTTTTTTTTACAATACCAGTTTTAATAGCATGGTGACATACGTAAGCCGATTCATCACATTCTAAGTCAACATTTTCAGAATTATCGGCATTTGGAAGGTAAACACGAGACCCTGTGTTTTCTTCATCAACATCTTCGTCAGATTCCGAAATTTCTTCATCATTGGAAGATTCCTCACCAAGATCCATGTCGGGATCATCATTTTCCTTATCGTTAGTAAGAGTCATTTTGAAAGATAAATCAGATTTTGTAAAGATACTATTTTATTTTCACCTCAAAATAATAAAAATATAAGTTATTTTAACTACAAAATATTGTAGTTATTAGCGGCAAATTAATACACCGAAATAAACAAACATGTTAACACGTGTGGCGTGCAATGTTGCCAGACCTTAAAATTAAATAGTAGCAGAGTTGAACATTTACTTGGCTGCCAGACTTTTTAACTATCATCGTTATTGCTTAATCGTTGTTTCTGATTTACAGCATTTGGCATTCCTACCCGTTCCTACCCGTTATCATTTGTTGAATATCATGTATCGCTTGCATCCCCTGATCGCTCGCTAACCCTGAAAATGCTGACCAGTTACTTTTCAGAATACTTCACTTTTTTCTGTTCATTTATACCTCGAATTTTTCACAAGGGCAGTGAAAAATTATCTGGACTTTACAGCGGACAAATAACTTAAAAATTTTAAAAGTTGTTAAACTGTTTTAAAAATCTTCAATTTGGCAATATTTTTCCACCTAGATGAATATTATTACAGTCACTGCCTAATTCTGAGTTTTTACGAATTTTTATGAGCCCAGATAATATATCAAGCGTGGAAGTTTTTAAATATTTAAAAATTAGACCACAAATGCTTTTCATTTTCACAAAACTGTGGCTTTTCCTCATAATGACGCTTTGAGCCACTTTCAAAATAGGCGTTGACAGCACTGGCTTTAGATAAGCACTGGCTAAAACTTCACTTAAGAGTCATATTTAAGTTTTCTCAGAATTTACTTTTCTTATCCGAAATATAAACGAACCTTGGCCAAAGAATACCTAAGGAGGCCTTTCCATTTCAATTCTAACCTTCAGTAAGGATAGGTTCGAAAAGGGACGAAATATATTGCACCTCCAAAACCCGTTCCACTGTCTCCCCTACATTTTTTGTGGGTGTGCGTGTATTAAGTAACCCGAAACTAATCGACTAACCACTGTCACAGAAGGGGGATTGCAACCTGCGGGGGTCAACTAGCTTTCAAAGGATATCAGAAGAAACTCACTCTTCATCTTATATTATGCTTTTTCTCTTTCTAAGAAAAACTTAAAAAATATTTTTTTTAACTCTAAAACGACTTTATTTATTTTCAAAATAGTTTTATCATTTTATTTAACATGCACTTTTTCTAATTATATCTTGAATTGTTTATTATTTTGATTTGATTATTTAGAGAACTAATAATAACCAGAGTATTTAAATTTATAAAATTTTACTATGTAGTCATATGAAAGTAATTCATATAAAGTAACTACATTAAAAATAAATTTATATTTTCTCTATAGATCAAATAAAGTTTGTTAATTTTTTTAAAATTGATTTGCTAATTTTTAAAACTTTTTATGTTAAAGTAAAACCTTGAGTTCAAGATTTTATTTTTTTATTACGTATTTAATTTTCTTCTTTCAATTACAATTCAAATACAAATATTTTTCACAATCTTTTTTTAATTTTAATTAATTTTTTTT